CTACAAAAGAGACTTGTTAAAGCTGTGAAGAATTTTGTGAGAAGAAAAAATGAAAAAAATCAAGTTCTAGGACATTATTTGAAGGGACTAAAGATCAAGATTGTTCAAAGTAAAAGGAAGGAATATTAAATTGGTTTATTTGATCAAGGTTAAAATAGATATATTGCTATATATCTATTTTTGCTGATAAGGACTTTTGCTGATCAGGCCTGGATGATGAGGCTTTAAGCGTTTGTTTATAGATAAGAGATGGGATATGGGAAGAAGAGACCATTTGTTTTATTTTAAGAGAAGGTGATAGGTTACTAAAATTGTTTATACTTGTGATGAAGGGGGAAATAATTATTTTATATAGTTCTTTTCTTTTTCTTTATTCTTATTTTTTCTTTCTTTTCTATTTTTTTATTTCTGTATTTTCTATTTTTCTTTTTATTCTTTTCTTTTTCTTAATTTGTATCAGTTTTTATCTTTTTCATTGTAATTTTTAATAAAATTACTATAAAAAATAAAATATTGCACCAGATAATGATAGACTGGATAACTTTGGCCTACCTGGAACAATTATGATTCAACTGAGGGCGAGCTGAAAGAGCAAAGGAATAGGTGGGCTCTGTAACAAAGTTGCCTCTAGTTGGCAGAACTGGCTCTAGTGAGCTAGAGACAATTCAAAACAGAAGAGCCCCTTACCTGCTTAAATAGTGTTCAATGGATTAGGAAACCATTGTAGAAATTTAAGGAACCTGATGTGCTCTTCAGTATCTATGTAACAGAATTCCTTGTCAATGTGACTATCTCTCTTCTTGGGGCAGAAGTGGGTTAGGCCATTCAAATTAAATCCCATCCATCCATCCATCCATCCATCCATCCATCCATCCATCCAATATATATTATCCCATAGAAACCATTTCCTGACTGCCTTCAGAGACATGAGCTTTTCCTCTTTCAAGGCTTAATATCCAGTTTTCTCTAACCTGGATTCACCAGAGGATTTAACTACAATTCTCATTATTCCTGACTACTAGTCAAGCTTGCTGGAGTCAATGCCAGTCAAAGACAGAAAAAAATTACAAGGGAGCCCAGGTTGGGGAAGCCTGATCTAAGCTGTGAATTCCTCAGTTGATTGCTCAGTGTGTAAAACAGTCAGTAGTGCAGTACATTTTGCTGAATTTCAAAGAGCCCTGTAAAAAGAGTCAGTAGTAGCAGAACATAACTTGCCTGGAAATCTGTCTCTGATTTTGAGAGGGGATAAACAGAACTGGCTTCAGCCACTGATCCAAAGTTGAACAGCTGCTTTCTCTCTGCAGTCTTGCTCTAATGGAACAATAACCATTCCTTCAACTAAGGATAATCCAGGGGCCAAAGTTCCACAGTAGTCTATGGAAGAGTTGGCCATGAAGTTGGCTGTGAGGAGTTTGGAGACCGAGAGGATGAAGGAGAGAGGTAACAGCAGGGATATAATGCAGCAGGCAAGATTTAGGATTCCTTCATTTTCTGTGTCATTTCAAGGCATCTAGTACAGACTGCATAATCACCAGTGCCATATGCAAGTCCCAGTTTGCATACACAGACAAACCGCTCCAAAATGGACAGAAAATATTGGCCTGGCTCACCCTGGGAGTGCTTTGGGGTATTCAGAAAGATGCAAAATGTTGCTTATAGTTTAGACAAGAAACACAAAAACAAAAACAGGTGTTATAATGACAGTTAAATCAAGACAAAGTGGAAAAAAGAAAAGCAAAACAAAACACCAACTTTTGCTGTCCTATCACAAATAAAGGCACCATCATGATACCGATAAAAGCTCAAAGAAAATTAAAGATTGAGAACAACTGGCCTGAGCTGAGCAAGAAGACGCACAGGGGGATTCTGAGTTATGACTGAAACTATCTCTTTAATTAGGCCCTGCTGTAGTGTACAAGGAACTAATAAAATCAACAGAAAGACTGCAAGCACTCATTTAACATTTTATGAAAAGTTTCCAGAGTTTTCTTTTTCTTGGGGAGGAGAAGAATACAGGAACTGACTCAATGTTAAATCCAAATGAATGAACACTAGTTTTATCTCAAGGTTATACATTATCTGAATTTATTTTTTGGAAATAGTATCTACTAGCCTCAGGATTCTGCAGCATAGAGGATGTTATTATTCCATAATTTCAAACTTGCTTCTGAGCATTAAAAATCACAACAAAGCAGAATGACAGTTTAATTTTAGAAAAGTTCAACCCCCTCCCCCAATTGCATTCAGTATATAAAATAAATAAAATTTTAGGTAAATCCATGGACATTAAATTAAACAAGTATAGTCAAGAATATATTCTCTAAATCCTCCTGAAGGCCAGCCAGCAGGTTATGGTAGGAATACAGGTAGTCCTCAACTTACAACCACAATAGGGACTGGAAAATTCATTGTTAAGTGGTATGGTCATTAAATGAGGCATGATGTGACTGCACCTGATTTTACAACATTTTTGTGGTGGTCATTAAGCGAATCACTGTGGTTGTTAAGTGAAACACATGTTTGTTAAGCAAATCACAGAGTTCCTGATTGATTTTGCTTGTCAAATGGCGATCACATGACCCCAGGATTCTGCAACCATTGTAAACACATGCTGATTACCAAGCGCCTGAATTTTGATCATGTGACCGCAGGGATGCTGCAATGGTCATAAGTGTGAGGACCGGTTGTAAGTCACTTTTTTCAGTGGCATAACTTTGAATGGCTGCTAATGGTCATAAGTCGAGGACTACCTGTATGCACTTTTCACAAAAGGGTATTCCAAAGATACAGAGTGACAGAAGAAATGGTTCCCTGGATAACGGCTTCCTAAACTCACAACCTTTACCAGTGAACCAAAAATTGGGATTCAGATGCTGATTTTAAAGATCAGCACAAGTCCCATTGTTTTTATTCTATATACTGGAGAACCTCAAAAGTGTACAAGGCTCCATTCTTGCCACTCACCACCTCAAAGAATTACAGCTTATTAACCGGAGGCTGACATTCATATCAGAAAGATTCCTGAGTTTGCTAATTGATCTTGCTAAAGTATAGAAGATAGGTGAAGTAGCAACCTTTCCTTTGTACACACCCTATCACCTATGAAAGGAGGTAATTAAGACATTTGGCAATGTCCAGCCCAAACTGGGCTGCAAGACCACATACCATGATCCCTATGCTATAAAATGTTGGAAGAGATCTTTAGTTTTATTTTGTGAAATACTCTCACTGACACCAGAGCATCCTGACTGTAAAAAGAATTATGGAAATGGCTGTATGAATCCATCATATTTTATCTCACTCAGTTTGCTTTACTTTGTTTTTGCATCAGTACTGTTAAAGACTAAATAAAAATCAGTACACACTTTTGTATCTATTTCTCCTAACATTCCTTTATTATCCAATTTACTATATTGCAGGACAGTCATATCATTTTCACACGATTCAATGTACAACTTTATGGTTTTGTGCAAGCCACAAGACTGTTTGCTTGGCTTGGCAATTAACAATACTTAATATAATCTATGATCTACTGAGATCATAGCACAGCTCATTTAATAAGAAACAAAAAAAATCATTTCTTTGGGAACAAACCATATGTTAGACAGGTTTTGATGAGACAGCTTAAAATAAGCAGCTGGTGAACCACAACTAGCAAATGTTCATAAAATTAATCCTTTTTCTTTAAATTAGTGCTTTAATATATTTTGCTATTTCACAATTTCTGCATAATAGTAGTTTATAAAGTAAGTACTATGTTTTCTAGTTCATTCCAGATTTTTTTTAAAAAAACATGGTTTTCAAAATATTAAGCTACTTTTGTCAAAGCCTTTGCATTCTCTAAGTACACCAATATATTAATACTTTGTTATAGTTATTTAAAACTTGGTTTCAAAGAATTTTGTCATCTTCATGCCTTGGCTTTATTCATCCGTCCAATGTAATAAAAGACAGGCTGTGCCTTTTACTTTACTCAGAAATTGCTATTTTTACAGTTGACAAAACACTTTTTAATGGCAGAGAAGAAGAATTAGATGTCTTGAAGAAGCAAAGATCCTACATACCTATGCAAGAAAAAAAAATCCCCGTAATTCCACAAATCCATCAGATTGTATTTACATTCTCACCTGCTGGGTAGCGTTCTATAACCGGCCAGTTGTCCACCTGTAATGTGGCATTACCACCACTTCTTGTAAAACGTACTACATGGTATTTCCCATCATTAATGATTGCGTTGACTTCTTCAATTGCGATATCATCTGTTCCAACATTAAATTTAACACCAATTTTCCCTTGGTGCTGTGAAGAAAAGCCAGAAATAATGGGAGGTATTAGTAGTTATTTTTTAAAAACTACTCAACACATTGAGTTGCAGTGCTTTATCTAGAGTACATTTTGAAAGGATTCTTTCTCCTCGGGTTTAAACTTTTGAAGGATAGCATGGGCAGCACAGATCTTTCTCCAAAGTCCTGCACAATTTTCTTCCCTCCCACTATTTTCAACTGCCTTGTAGAAAGGATTCCTGAAGGGCGAGGGAAAAAAGTACATGAGCACCATTCCAGAAGTCTGCTCAGTGGACTTTTCCCTACTGTTGTGGGAAGGATCCTAGAACTGTAGTTTCATTGTTAAGTAACAAATATCCCAAATAAAATCCAGGAACCAACAGAATGATCAACATTTGAATTCTGAATCAGTATTTCATTGTAGTATACTCCTGCTGGACACTGTTGATGGGACAGGTACCGCTTTACATCACAGGTAGAAGATGGATGCTATAATAGATATTGTCCAATGTGGCAAATGAAAATTTAACAAGCATCTGAACTAAGGAAAAAACAACCACTAACTTGAAAAGAAAGGACAAATTGGTTTCATCTCTAATTAGACCCACCTCCGATAAAATTGTAATACTATTACTGGCAGTAAGTAGTTTACCTATTCAAAGCATTGCCACTTCTTTCAGGCAACAATCCACTACAAATATTATCCATCTTAATTATTATTGAAAAGGGATTCATAACTGAACATTTACTGTTTAATGAAGTATCTTGCCGTGTTCATCTAAAAATACTGACCAAAACAATTATTGATTTTTTTTTCATCAAAGACAGGCGAAATATTCCATTTCTGAATAATCATTCTGATAAGACTAAAGCGAGAAAAAGGAGAAAGGAACAACTTTGCAAAATGAGGAAAAAGAGGAGGAAGTAATAGTGCCAGTGGTAATAATAATAGTTAACATTAGAACTTAACTAGATAAATAAATGTAACTGTTGCATCCTTTGAAAAGTCCCCAGGTTCCAAAACAAGTAGAAAATTCTCTATTTGAGAATTTACTGTTTCATTTTTTGCAGCCTCCTGACCTTTTTTCAGTTGTATAATCTTGTATCACTTTTCATATAAGATTTCAGATCTACACTGAAAAACTCCCTCAAAGAAGCATTTGATAACTTTAGTGTGACTGAGGTTGTATTTGCATTACCTCTAGAAAAATCCATTACAGTTTTGACACAAGCCAAAAAAAAAAAAAAAAAAAGAAGGAGGTGGGGTGGGGTGAGGGAATCACCTGCTCTTCCTGAGGAAAAAAAGAGTTTAAAAGAAAAGAAACTTTAAAGGGAAGATGACAGTAAAAAGACAACCATTTTTCTACGTAAACAAATTCCAAGGCCAAACTGTTTGAGATTGTAGATTCTTCCAAACAGTTTCAGCAACTGAAGTGGCAAATTGTGCAATTCATGTGTTTTAATCACCCTCTTACTCTGCTATTCATATTCATCAGAAAATGTAAAAAAAACCCACACAAAACATAATTGCTCTGGCACTGTAAGCAATCACCCCTTTTGATGAATTATTAAACATTTAACAACTTTCCCAAAGGCACGTGACTATAAAATACATATACTTTATTCAACTTTTTCTGCTCCAAAATCAAATGCTTTGAAATCCATCCAATTTTGATGATGCTCTTTTATTTCAGTATTCATCCATGTCTTTCCTACTTGCTTCCATTGTGTTCCTATATAACATTTTATAAACAGAGAGAAAGCAAAACACCTTTAAAAAAATTTAGCAGGTGCATGCAAATTATAGCAACTAAATGCATTTACATGCTTTTATGTGGCACAACCCACTACTTCAAAAAAATAGCAACACAAAGGACAATATTGAATATCACAGGAAGAGTAAAAATGCACATAAATACAAGAGGGGAGGAAGCATGGAAACACTGTTTCTCTTGCACAATTTTCATTTATTTGTCACCATATGATTCTGACAATGAAAAATTGTATATCTATGCAACCATTCTACGTTCAGTCCTATATAAGCCTGTGTTAGGACTGTATCCAGATTAACTACTTAGTGATTATATATTGAACAAGATGACATAATTCGGCTATATAGCTAACCAGATTGACTGTGCAGCAGAGTATAAACAGAAGTCTCCTATTCCCATGCTGGCTGGGGAATTCTGGGAGTTGAAGTCCACTCATCTTAAAGTGGTCAAGTTTGGACAACACCGATCTAGATTGTTAAAGCTCAAATCTCTGTCTTTGTATTGTGTTTTAAAGGAAACTTATTTATCTAGTCAAGAACAACCATGGAAAGACTGTAAGATGTTCTACAACTCATAGTTCAATAATCATTTTAAGCCATTCAGTTCTGGTTTAGCATGCGGTGTGAGAGTACAGTTACTGTTATATGGAAATCTCATTAAAAACTTTTGCATGTAAAAACTGTAAAAGCAGAGGCTGGATCTAGGAAGCAGTGGTTCCTTTTTGGTACTTCCATTCTGAAATTTGATCCAAAGTTACTCTTTCATTACAGAACAGCTCCTTTAATGAGCAGAAGAGGGCCTGGAGGTCTATTACGCTCCTTCAATATTAGGAATAAAGGAGAATTTCTTCCCTTTTGGTGAGAAAATCCAAGTAGCCCAAAATATACTTGTCATGTAAAAATAAGTCTAAAGCAGGTGACTAGATAAGGCGTACTGATAAAATGCATCAGTGCCATTTTTTCTTCTTATCAAGAAAACGTGAAAAGGTTTGACCTCAAAACATTCCAATTTCAAAATGTTCATTTGGAATCTCCTGATCTTGGAAAAGAACGCGGCTGTTTTGAGTGTTCTGACCTGCAACTGGGCTACTGTTTTTTGACTTGTGGTTTGGTAAGCTTTTTCCAAACTTTTTCCAATCTAATCAGTCTAGAACCAGAGACAAAGTGTGCCTTTGCTGCAATTGGTTTAGACTGGAAGGCTGATCTGAGAATGAAGTATTGAGGGGAAAACTGCATGTAATCACTTGGCCAGACGGGGAAGTGTACTGCCTGGTAAGTTACAACCATTTGATGTTAATTAACTAAGGAGAAATTCACATGAATGGTGGATTTTATACATGTAGTGCTTTATTTGGCAGGCAGTAATGCAAAGGTGCATTTATGTGCCCGTTGGGCTTCATACGCAAGTGCTGCTAATGCTGCTTATGTTGTCAAGGCACAGATTTCCAGAACAATGTTGGTTCAGACCGGTTTGTTGAGCTTGGTATGTGTTAATGTACTCTCTGCATGTTCTTATGCCTGACTGATACTAAACTTCCAGGAAGTATTTAACATGCAAAAATCATATTGGTTGGGATGTTTAATACAGCTTTAATGTGTGTATTCTCTATGCATGTTCCAAAGATGGCAAATGACAAAATGTGCACTGTGATGTACAAACTGCACTCCTTTTGCACTTGTGTTACAACGTTACACGCAAGTTGCAAAGTACTTTTTCTCATTCTGATGAAATTTCAGGTTGCTGCAGACACCCCAGGCATGCTGTTGTGCCTTGTTTTAATGTTATTCATGTAGTTAAGGAGCACCATCCCCTTTCATATGCAGCCAGAGGCTATTCATATGTCCAAGCAGATGGATCAGTAATGAGCAGCTTAGCTGCTTTGTGCTTGGCAGGCAGGTTAAAAGAAAAAAGCCAAATATGTTGCATGATATTGCTAAGTAGGTGAGGTAGCAGTGCCTACAGAAAAAATGGCTAAGAGAGTGATTTTAAAAAAAGAAAACATAAAGAAAACCATCACAGAAGTAGAAGTACAATTTGTGCCTGTCTATTTACTTGTCTTCTGGCTTGGAGAGGTATAATTGAAAGTAATGTGAAAGAAATAGGTTCTTTTACTCTACTAAAGCATTATTTCAAAACACTCTTTTGAAATAAGAAAGGGTTCTGATAACAAATTCTGATCTGAACTTACATTATCTTACAGTGGGTGAGAGTACAGCTACATTCCCACTATTTGCTATGGGAATTTGTTTTATCAGTTTTTTCCCAAAATCGTTCTGCAAGGGAAGCGAAGCTGGGATTGTTGTCTGTGCTTGCGAAAAGCAGCTGCAGCCAGGCAGAAATGCTTCCCACCCCACTTGCCCAAGGCTCAGTGCAGCTCATGTTTTTTCTCAGAGGGTTGTAAAAGTTTACAGCCCCAGAAACCTGAGAGATGGACTCACGCATAAATGCATTCGCTCACAAAGTTACTCACAAGCTTCCATGCTGGCGTTCCAGCTGCCTGGCTAATTGAGCCACACCTTGGCGTTTTCAAGGACGTGCTGACGTCCAGAGGCAGCCTCACCCCACCCTGGCTCTTAGTTTACACAAGCAAATGCTAAGACAGAGGGTGCAAGAGAAAAGGGGATAGGAAAACAGCAAGCAGGTGAGGAAGCGGGAGGCAACATCTGGAGACTGATAGCTATTACAGGCAGGCAAGAGGACTATCAGTCAACTGCCAGGACCACAAGCTACGGTAAGCAGCATATCCTGGTGGGATTCCTGCCTGGAGCTTGGCTTGGGAGCTCAGCTGGAGTGCTCAAAAGCAACACTGTTTAAGAGCAGAGCTTGGAGCTTGGCCTGGAGCTCGGCAGCAACTAGAAAAGGAACACCCACACTGAGGCAACACCTCATCCCAACTCGTGCAAGAACTTTTGGGAAAAGGCAAAGGTTGTATGCTACTTTATAGGCTTTGAGACTTTTGTTTGAACTGAGTATAAAGGACTGAGTATTAAAGATGTATTTATGTGGCTACTTGCAAGTCCTAGATGGGTGGAGTTCACCCAGAGCAATAGCTTGTTGCTGGGGAAGGTGTGTGTTGCAATAAACCACTGTGTACAGATTTGCTATGCTGTGGTGTGTCCAGTTCTTGGAAAGCAAAGAACCCTCACAATGGCTACTAGCAATCAGCATGAACTGCTATTCCACCTATTCTTATGGTCCTGAGGTGAGAAACAATGGCGTAAGTGGTGTGTGAGCTGGTATACCG